CTCTGTGGGGAAGGGTGTCCGCCATTACCGAGGCAGTCCACCACTATGGAGGTAGTTTGCCATTGCTGAGGCAGCCTGCCATTACAGAGAGAGTCAGCCAGTACAGAGATGGGCTGCCATTGCCGAGGCAGTTCTAACTATACCGGTATAAACAGGACTGCAGGGAAGTTCACATGGCAGCTGGGCAGAGCCCACAGCAGCTCAGCAAAGCCTCTGCAGGCAGACTGTGACTAGGTTGCCTCCTTGCTGGGCAGGGAAGCCCTGAAAAAAGGCAGCAGCATGACAGAAACTTATAAATAAAGCCTTAACCCCCTGGGACAGAGCACCTGGGGTAAAAAAAAAAGGTGTTTATGAGTTCTGCTGCAGCAGACTTAAACGTACCTACCCAGCAGCTCTGAATGAACAATGGAGCCCACAGCTCAGCACTTGAGCTCCTAAAGAACAGACTGTCTCCTCAAGCAGCTCCATGACCCCTGTATATCCAAAGAGTCATCTCATAAAGCAGAGCTCAGACTGACCAATCTGGCAGGTATCCTTCTGGGACAAAGATAGCAGAAGAAGAAACTGGCAGCAACCCTTACTGTTCTGCAGCCACTGCAGTTGATCCCCAGGCAAGCAGGGTCTGGAGTGAACCTCAGCAGTCTTACAGCAGAGAGGCCTGACTATTAGAAGGAAAACTAAGAAACAGAAAGAAATAACTTCATCATCAACAAACTGAATGTCCACTCAGAGACCCAATCTGAGTCAACAACTACAAAGACGACAGGTGGATAAATCCACAAAGATGGGAAGAAACCAGCGCAAAAAGGATGAAAACACCCGAAACCAGAACACCTCTCCTCCTACAAGGGATCACAACTCCTCACCAGCAAGGGAACAAGGCTAGATGGAGAATGAGTATGATGAATTGACAGAAAAAGGCTTCAAAAGGTGGGTAATAAGAAACTTCATAGAGTATTGGAAGTTCTAGCCAGAGCAATCAGGCAAAAAAAAAAAGACAAGAAAGAAAGGGTATTCAAATAGAAAAGGAGGAAGTCAAATTGTCTCTATTTGCAGAAGACATGATTGTATATTTAGAAGACCCCATCGTCTCAGCCCAAAATCTCTTAAAACTGATAAGCAACTTCAACAAAGTCTCAGGATACAAAATCAATGTGCAAAAATCACAAGCATTCCTATATACCAATAACAGACTTAGAGCCAAATCAAGAACAAACTGCCATTCACAATTGCTACAAAGAGAATAAAATACCTAGGAATACAACTAACAAGGAACGTAAAGGACCTCTTCAAGTAGAGCTACAAACCACTGCTCAGTGAAAGAGAGGACACAAACAGAGACATATTCCATGCTCATGGTTAGGAAGAATCAGTATCGTGAAAATGGCCATACTGCCCAAAGTAATTTACAGATTCAATGCTATCCCCATCAAGCTACCAATAACCTTCTTCATAGAACTGGAAAAAACCACCTTAAATTTCATATGGAACCAAAAAGAGACTGCATAGCCAAGTCAATTCTAAGCAAAAAAAGAAAAGAACAAAGCGGGAGGTACCATACTACTGGACTTCAAACTATACTGCAAGGCTACAGTAATCAAAACAGCATGGTACTGGTAACAAAACAGAGATATATACCAATGGAACAAAACAGAGGCCTCGGAGACAACACCACACATCTACAACCATCTGATCTCTGACAAACCTGACAGAAACAAGCAATGGGGAAAGGATCCCCTGTTTAACAAATGGTGTTGGGAAAACTGGCTACCCATGTGCAGAAAGCAGAAACTGGACCCCTTCCTGACACCTTACACTAAAATTAACTCCAGATGGATTAAAGACTTAAACAAAATACCTAATACCATAAAAACTCTAGAAGAAAATCTAGGAAAACCCATTCAGGACATAGGCATAGGCAAACACTTGATGACCAAAACACCAAAAGCATTGACAACACCAAAATAGACAAATGGGACCTAATCAAACTCCACAGCTTCTGCACAGCAAAAGAAACAGTCATTAGAGTGAATCAGCAACCAACAGAATGGGAAAAAATTTTTGCAATCTACCCATCTGACAAAGGGCTGACAGCCAGAATCTACAAAGAACTAAAACAGATTTACAAGAAAAAGACAAGCCCATTCAAAAGTGGGTGAGGGATATGAACAGACACTTTACAAATGAAGACATACATGAGGCCAACAAACACATGAAAAAATGCTCATCATCACTGGTCATTATAGAAATGCAAATCAAAACTACATTGAGATACCATCTCACGCCAGTTAGAATGGTGATCATTAAAAAATCTGGAGACAGCAGATGCTGGAGAGGATGTGGAGAAACAGGAACACTTTTACACTGCTGGTGGGAGTGTAAATTAGTTCAATCATTGTGGAAGACAGTGTGGTGATTCCTAGAATCCTAGTGTGGCAAGGACCTAGAAATAGAAATTCCATTTGACCTAGCAATCCCATTACTGGGTATATGTCCAAAGGATTATAAATCGTTCTGTTATAAGGACACATGCACATGAATGTTCATTGCAGCACTGTTTACAATAGCAAAGACCTGGAACCAACCCAAATGCCCATCAATGATAGACTGGACAGGGAAAATGTGGCACATATACACCATGGAATACTATGCAGCCATAAAAAACGATGAGTTTGTGTCCTTTGTAGGGACATGGATGAACTGGAAACCATCATTCTCAGCAAACTGACACAAGAACGGAAAATCAAACACCGCATGTTCTCACTTATAGATGGGTGTTAACAAGAACACATGGACACAGAGAGGGAGCATCACACTGGGGTCTACTGGGGGGGAAATAGGGGACGGACAGCAGGGGGTGGCGAGTTGGGTGATGGGGAGGAAGGCAGCAAATCACACTGCCATGTGTGTACCTATGCAACAATCTTGCATATTCTTCACATGTACCCCAAAACCTAAAATGCAATAAAAAAGAATAAAAAATTAAAATAAAATAAAAAGAACAAGGAACAATGCTTAGAGAGGTGTTAAGGCTGTCAGTTATTCCAGCCAAGCTGCAGAAGATAGGGGATGAATCACAACCCTGCTTACACCTTGCAGCTTCACTATGTCAGTGGCAACAAACAATGAGTGCCTGTGCTTGCCTCTGCTCACATCATCTCCCTCCACCAACAGGCAAGATAATTACTCATATAAAGGCAGCAACTGTTGTGCAGTTGAAAGAGCCTGGTTGCAGTAACTGGTAATCTTGCAGACCGTAAAAATGGAGTTGAAGAAATAGCTGTACGTTGGCACCATTTATGCAGATATGTTTCCTACTTACATTATAAAAATAAATGAATAAATGAAAGTAGAAAAAAAAAAAGAAATAGTGGTAAGCAAGACAAAGTCCCTGCCCTTGCAAGCCTACATTCTAGAAGGTGGAGACAAACAATTAAACACTTAAGAATATTCCATATCATATAGTGATGCCTACCATGGAGAATATAAATCATGATAAAACAGGGAATGTTGGGAGAGGAAAGAATTATTTTAGTTAGGGTCATTAGGGGAAGTGTCTTTGAGGAGCTTTCGTTTGAGCAGAAATCTGAATGATGAGAAGGGCACGTAGGGAAAAGAACAGCACTTCAGCAATAAAGAGAACTGCAAGTACAAAGATCCTAAGGTGAGAATGCTGAATACCAATACTTGAGTTCTCACGGGAACAACACATGTCTAATCTCCACTCCACACTTTCTATAACGTTCAGAAGAGTGTCTCTAACTCACATTCAATAGTACTTGTTCAAGATTATTCACCACAATGGAAAGACAAGTTAAACAAACTGTTTTAGAAGAATCTTCAGTATTCAGGATCATCATGAATTTACTCTTCTTCAAGGGAGACAAATTAACAAAGTAGGTAAAAATCTTTGGGATTTTCAATAAGACAGAAAGAAAAAAAAAGAACAAATATGGAAAGATGTTTTAGAAGTCTCTTCCAGGTGGATAATCTTACAATCGTACAAGCATAAAGATTACCAGGCAAATTCTGTAAATAGAATTATCTGTGTTCAATCAGCCTTCCAACCCTAAAGCTTGGTGCTTTACATTTATAGTGTGTATGATGCTAAAAGAATGGAACTACAGCCAATGTGCATAAAGCAGAGGGAAGTGGATTAGAGTTCAAAAGGAGCTGTCCAGCAATCAACAGTTTGAATACTGGAAGTGTTCAGACACTGTAAAACCATGTCTTAAAGACGTTACAAGGATAATTTACTGGAGAAAGTTACCAGTAGAATTTCATGACCTGTAGAGAATTGTTCTGGTTCCTCCTCACACCTTTCAGCACCATGCCTTTACATTCATTCTATAAAAGCCCCGGAGTTCAGCTAAGAGGATGAATTTTTAATCACCACATATATCATGCCAACAACAAAGAATTAACAGATAAATACTGCTTCAACAAGGGGAACGTAATGATTTGTTTCAGTAACTAAAACTGGGGTTATTAAAATCTTCAAGACATATTTTTAAAGGCACAAGAAGAGCCTGAAGCAGTGAGTGCCCAACACCAAATTGAAAGAACATAATGAATTAAGGTTTGCTGTACCAATTCCATTTGCCTTGATTTCGCACAAAGCGCGTCAGAAAGTACACGGTAACCCTAAAGGGGGAAACCCAGCTGGGAACCCTTGAATAGATGGTGACAAGATGAGTTAAGCCAGTGGGGGAAGAGAGAAGGGACTGCGCGTAAACGGGAGTGTGTGCAAGGCCACCTAAAGGATGCCCAGACATGCATACATTCCTGGCCTTTCCTGCAGCAGAACCAGCTAGGCCGCCGCCCGCAGACAACCACGGAACCATGGGGACGCCCTTCAAAGCCGTCTAGTCCGCCCTCTCCAGCCAGTTTGGTGGATATTTCGGCGAAGGCTGCAGACTCCCAGAGTCACCCCTCCCTCGAGCAGCGTTCTCCGTACTCGTTGGCGCCAGGCAGCTCAGAGTGAGCGGGCCTGCTCTTACCTTCAGGTGTCGGTGGCGGCTCCTGCCGCTTCCCGCGGGACAGGAAGGCCTTGGGCAGCAGTAGCGACAGAGCCAGGACGAGCCCAGAAGCCAGAGCGACTCTCTGCATTGTGGAGTACGCCATGACTGCTCACGGTGGCCGTGGGTGCAGACGCCAGCTGGAACCGGAACCGGAACCGCAACCGCAGCACTGGCAGCCTCTCCCGACTCAACCGCGGGCGGTGCGGGCGACGCGAACGGCGGCGCGCGAGGGACAAGGTGCGCGAGGTGCCTGCGCTTTTACCTCCGCTGTCCGCAGCTGACCTGCTTCTCCCGCGTGGTAATTCGTCGCTGTAAATGGTACCCTCGCCTTCCCATTCATACTAACTAAAAGCTCCTCCTTCTCCCTCACTCTCCACGTTCATCTGTTATTGAGCCCTGTGCATTCTACCGCCTATACATCCGGCCGTCGTACCCAGATCTCCATCTTCACTTACCACCACTGCGTGCCACCCACCCGTAGACCACAACATCGAGTTCTTCTCATTTCCATGAACTCACTGTCTTCCAGCTTCCACTCATGCCCCTCGCATTCATTCTCCATCTGCAGCCAGAGGTGCTAAAACACAAGACTAATTCTCTCTCTCTACAGCTTAAAACCTTTTTTTTTTTTTTTTTTTTTTTTTTTGAGACGGAGTTTCGCTCTTGTTACCCAGGCTGGAGTGCAATGGCGCGATCTCGGCTCACCGCAACCTCCGCCTCCTGAGTTCAGGCAATTCTCCTGCCTCAGCCTCCCGAGTAGCTGGGATTACAGGCATGCGCCACCATGCCCAGCTAATTTTTTGTATTTTTAGTAGAGACGGGGTTTCACCATGTTGACCAGGATGGTCTCGATCTGTTGACCTCGTGATCCACCCGCCTCGGCCTCCCAAAGTGCTGGGATTACAGGTTTGAGCCACCGCGCCCGGCCTTTTAACTCTCCATTCCCTTCAGAACAATAGTCAAACTCCTGTGACCTCAACACCCTGCATGATCTAGTCTTACCAGTGCTCCTTCCAAACTGGGTGATGTGCTCTTTCTCTAGCATATTGCTTGTCTAAAGGGAAACTTTGCTCGTCCCGTTCCCACTGCCTAGAAAGTTCTTGACACCATCTCCACTTGTCAAAAACTTCTCTGAAGAACAGCTTAAAAACACTGTACCCCAAAACCTAAAACGCAATAATATATATATATAAACAAAACACCGCTGTCGTGAAACTTTTTCAGTCAGCCTCTCCTTCCTCTACAATCCCACCGGTCTTTGTTACTGTCTGCATTCATTCGTTTAACATTTTTGAGTTTTTACTATGTGTTAGACCCTCAACTTGGCTCTGCAGGGTCTGATGAATAAAATGGATTCTCTTTGTAGGGCAGATAATTATCTAAAAAAAAAAAAAAATCAGGAAAGATTCTGGGCCCTGGAGCAGTCTGCACAACTGGTAGGAGGAAAAGTCAAGAAAACTCCTTTGAGAAGGTGAAATATGTGTTAGCTGTTGAAGAATGAGTAATTTACTAGGCAGACAGGTGGAATGGTTTAGAAAGATATTCCAGGAAAAAGGAGGCCAAGAAAACCAAGGCAAAGCTGGAAGCTTCCTGGTGTGTTCAGAAATGTATTGGTAATTCATTTTGGCGGGGTCATAGAATGGTGACAGGACATGAAGTGCACAAATACAGTGCACAGGAGATACATTGTGAAAAGCTTAGGTAGAACTTCCAGTTAAACATGGCATATGTAACATATGTATTTATCTTTGCTTTCCCGAGACAGTGCCCCAAAATGAAAATAAAGAAATAAAGTGTATAAACTACAAGACTAAATAGAATGATAGAAAATGTGACAGCAGATGAGAAATGTCAATTTTGTAAGATGCACACAACACTGTCCAATAGAAACATAATGCCAGCCACATATGTAATTTAAAATTTTTCAGTAGCCACGTTTGAAAAGTAAAAATAAGTAAAATTTATTTTAATAATATTTTATTTAAGCCAAGATATCAAAAACATCATTTCAAATTTTATCAGCACAATAGTGTGGCATATTAGCTGCTACATTAGATAGCGCAGGCGTAGAGCATAAAAAGTTAGATGCCTTGGAGGGAAAGCCTGTAGGAAATAAACTAATTTGCCCCTCAGAACCTGTGCTCTTAAGAATTGGAGGTACTGGGCTTCTTTAAAGCCAAGGGTGCAGAGTGGGGGTGAATGAAGGATTGGCTGGAAATCTGATTAAAAAGCAGTTGAGACTGGGTGTGGTGGCTCACACCTATAATCCCAGGGCTTTGGGAGGCCAAGGCTGGAGGATGGCTTCAGACAAGGAGTTCAAGACCAGCCTGGGCAACATAGTGAGAGCTCTAATCTCTACTAAAAGAATGTAAAAAAATTAAAAAATTAGCCAGGCATGGTGGTGTGCACCCATAGTCCCAACTACTCAGGAAGCTGAGGTGGGAAGATCACTTGAGCCCAAGAGTTTGAGGCTGCGTGAGCTATGATTGTGTGAAACCACAATTAATTGTGATATATAAGACAATAATACCTGAGGGAAGTCAGGAGGGGCACCCACTCCAGCCTGGGTGACAGAATGAGAACCTGTCTCTAACAAAAAAAATTGTTTAATTTTTTTTTTTTTAAGCAATGGGTATCTTCTAAATCTCTTTCCTCAATTCATGCAGCCAGATGGGTGCCCCTACTGGCTTCACTCAAGCATTATTATCATTGATGTTATTAAAATCACTAAAAGTTAGAGTGCTGACTATGTTTTAGACATCTTACATATCATAATTAATCCTCCCAATAACTTTAAGAGGTAAGCAATATTATTATATACCTGTTTTACAGGTAAGAAAATGGATGCCCAGAAAACATAATTTACTTGCCAACAATTACACAGTAATACTGGAAGCTATGATTTGAACACAGGCATGCTTACTCAAGAACTTGCCCTCTTAGCTACCAGGTTTACTCTCTGGGGAGGTTTAGTCAGAAAAGCTTTGGACTCCTGGGCAATAGGTGCAGCTTAGGGAGCAGTTGACTAATGGGATGTGGTCTCTAAGAGGTACGGAGGAGTCTGGAATGACCCCCTCACACACACAAATTCTAGCTTGAGTGACTTGGTAGACATTGATTCTATATAACATGATTTTAAGAACAGAAGAATCAGGTTTGTGAGAGAGAGATGGAGTTCAGATTTTGACTAGTTGGAGTTCCATGAAATATCCAAGTAGAAATATCCAGTTGGATATATGACTCTGGAGCTCAGAAGAGATGTTTGGTGGAAGTCTTCAGCCCATCTATAATAAATGAAGCCAGGGAGAAGATGACATTAGTGAGAGTGTTCATGTAAAGTTATAAGAAGCCGCAATGGAAACCTAGATGACAACATTATGTTGAAGTTCCCATGTATGAGGACAGAAATGATGTGGGAAATAGTGATCCAAGTGCTAAAATCTTTAATGAATGTGGAGTTACTACAAGGTTGGAAGGTGACAGGAACAGAGGAAGTAATTAGAGCCAGACGACATGCTCTTCTAAGGAGCTGTGGTTTTTAAAGGAAGAAGGGGAAGAAGCAATTTGGAAGCAGCAAGGGAGAACAAGTTGGGAATCTATTCTATTCCCAGGCTTTGAGCTGTGGGATGAAAAATAACTCTTAGGGAGAACTGCAAGGGAAACAGAGCCCAGAGGCAACATCCTAGTTTCCATTAGAAGAAAGTTAAGAGAAACTTCAAAGAAGTCAAAGATACAGGATTTTTTCTGATGATAGATCTTGATTCTATACGGCACAGTAAGTGGAAGGTTTGGAACTTAGAGATGGGTAAGAGATGAAGTCAGAGTAAAATATGAAGTGAGCAGGGTGGAGATGAGTGGCCATGTGCAAATGGATGACCTGGAGGGCTTGGACTTTAGATGGTGGCCAAGACAAATGGGCAGAGGTCATGATCACATTAGTCCTGGAAGTGGCCAAGAGAAAGGTGAAAACACAAAGTTATAGTCCTGAGTATTTGGCTTGGAACATATTCATTGTTGCAGTCAGATGAGGTGTGGGCCCAGAAGACATGGGAGCCTCCTCAAGGCAGCGGAGCTGTTAGGCAGCTCATGGAGCTGGGACAGCTTGGAGTGGGACCTGGGATGGCTGCCTTCTCTGGTGGCTGGTGGTATAACATCAGAGCCAGAAGTGCACTAAAATTGAAGATCGTAGGGTTTAGGTTTTCCAATAAAGTATTGGTAGGGAGCCGAACACAGTGGCTTCTGCCTGTAATTCTAGCACTTTGGGAGGCCTGGGTGGGTGGATCATCTGAGGTCAGGAGTTCAAGACCTGCTGGCCAAGATGGTGAAACCCCATCTCTACTAAAAATACAAAAATGAGCCAGGCATGATGGTGCAGGCCTGTAATCCCAGCTACCCAGGAGGCTGAGGCAGGAGAATGGCTTGAACCCAGGAGGCAGAGATTGCAGTGAGCTGAAATGGCACCACTGTACTCCAACCTTGGCAACAGAGCAAGACTCTGTCTCAAAAAAAAAAAAAAAAAGAAGTAATGGTAGGGAATTCAGATCAGAAGTCTAATGGCTATAGGCTGTAGAAGGAGCAAATGACAAGGAAGTAGAGATACCAAATACAGCCCACTCTATAAGGAGCTGTCATGAAAAGAAGGGATAAAAGTTACAGTGATAACCTGAGGGTGACTTTTCTAAGGGAAGAGAAAAGCATGTTTATACATTTAGAAGAAAAATGTCAGAAAAGAGGAGAAGGAAAATGTAGAAGCAAAGGAGACCAATGTTGGAGCAAAGCCCTGATTGTGGAGCAGACATGGGGGCCAACACTGAGCCTCATGGCAGTAGGGATCAGCTTAAAGGAAAGGAGATGGAGTGGATTCAGGTGCTTATATTAATAAAAGGAGTGGTGTAGGGACAGAAAGTCAAGGGGTTTCATTTCTCATTGCCTCCATTTTCTTGGTAAAGGATGTGTTTGGGCCATTATCTGAGAAAGGACTCAGGGTGAGATGGGAAAGGACTTTTTGATTGTGGTGAAGGTTTGGAAATGGGCAAAGAGGTATTCAGGAATCACTCCAGCTTTGCACATGGTCTCCCTTTGGTGCTTAAATGCAACCAGGGATTTTCTGTTCTCTCCCTGGGGACTTAACAGTATCTTCTAAACAGTATATTCTGGGCTGGACTTGGCATTCCCAGGGAATCCTTTGAGACTGGTAGCCTTCAAGGGACCCATTCCAGAAGACTGAAGGTGGTCAGGGGAGAGACTGAGAG